ATAGATGTGGGTACTTGTTCCAGCAATATAAATTACAACCCATCCTTACACCTCTCATCCTGATTCACTCTCATGCAGTTGTCCTGTAGATCCTCCATAAAGAGGCCCACTGTAGTGGCTCATCCTGGCATATCTTCCCAGCTATGACTCATTCCCATCTCTAGGTCTAGACTCATGTAACTCCTCTTATCTGCATTACCCCCACTCCCTCACCTTCAAAATGAAACCATCATTTGCTTTAAGCTCAGCTCAGAATCTATTTTCACCAATGAACCTTTGCAGACCAACTACTAACAAAGGATTACTGAAATGAGAGAATATATTTGAAAAGGCTAGGTAAAATTACGTATTGAGGATAGTTAACTCATTAGATTACAGTCAGGATGCAAAATAATATTGGTGGATAGATGGAGTCAAGATGGCATAATGAAAGGAAACATTAGAGGCTAGATCTCTTTCCACACCAAGTAATGCAAAACAGAGAAAGAAAATTATAGACCAATTTTCCTAATTAATATTGATGCAAAATTTTTAAATAATATATTAGCAAGGAGACTACAGTAATTTATCACAAGGATAATACACTATAACCGGGTTAGATTTATACCAGGAATGCAGAGATGGCTCAATATTAGGAAAATTCTAAGCATAATTGACCATATTAATAACAAATCCAACAAAAATCATATGATTATTTCAATAGATGCAGAGAAAGCTTTTGACAAAATACAACCCCCATTTCTTCTGAAAACCACTAGAAAGCATAAGACTAAATGGAGATTTCTTTAAAATGATAAAGTAGTATCTATCAAAAAACAAGAGCACACATTATCAGTAAGGGGATGAGCTAGAAGCTTCTCTAATAAGCCCAGTGGTGAAGCAAGGATGTCCATTATTATCATTAATATTCAATATTGTACTAGAAATGCTAGGTATAGCAAGAAGACAAGAAAAAGATATTGAAGGAATAAGTGTAGGTAAAAAATAGAAACAAAACTTTTTTTTTTGCAGATGATATGATGGTTTACTTAGAGAACTATAGAAACTCATCTAAAAAACTAACCAAAACAACTGCTTTATCAAAGTTGCAAGGTTTAAAGTAAACCCATGCAAATCATCAGCATTTCTGAATATTACCAACAGAACTCAGCAGGAAAGGATAGAGAAATTCCATTTAAAACAACTACAGACAGTATAAAATACTTGGGACTCTACCTGCCAAGAAACACACAGGAACACAATTATAAAACACTCTTCACACAAATATGGATCTAATAGTTGGAGAAATATTTATTAAGTATGGGTACACAGATCCAATGTAAATAAAAATGACAATACTACATTAAATTACTTTACTTATTCAGTGGCATACCAATCAAACTACCTAAGAATTACTTTATAGAGCTAGAAAAAAAATAACATAATTCATCTGGAAGAACCAAAAAGTCAAGGGTTTCAAGGGAATCAATGAAAAAAATGGGAAGGAAGGGGGCCTTAGTAGTGTAAGATCTCAAAGATGTAATTGTCACAACAATTTGGTGTACTAGGTAATAAATAGAAAGATTGATCAGTAGAACAGATTAGGTACACAACATACAGAAGCAAATGAATGTAATAACCTGTTGTCATATAGTCATTCAGTCCTGTCCAACTCTTTGTGACCCCATAGACTTGTCCATGGGGTTTTCTTGGCAAAGATACTGAAATGGTTTGCCATTTCCTGCTCCTGTGCTTCCCCATTTTACAGAAGAGAAACTGAGGCAAATAGGAATTAAAAGTGACTTGCCCAGGGTCACACAGCTAGTAAGTGACTAATGCTAGATTTGCACTCAGTCTTCACAACTCCAGACCCAGTGCTCTATGTACTGTATCACAACAACCTGGTTTTTGATAAACCCAAAGATCCCAGCTATTGGGGAAAAAAACCTCACTATTCAATAAAAACTGTTGGAAAATCTGGAAAGTAGTCTGGCAGAAACTAGGTATAGACCAACATTTTGCACTGTATAGCAACTTAATGGAACATGGAAGAATTACTTGTCAGATCTATGGATAAGGGAAGAAGTTTATGACCGAACATAAGATAGAGATGCTCACAGTAAGTAAAATGAATAATTTTGATTACATAAAATTGAGCAGTTTTTGCACAAGCAAAATTAATGCAGAGAAAATTAGAAGTTTGGAAACTGAGAAAAAAAACCTTAGCAGCCAGTTTCTCTGATAAAAGTCTCATTTCTGAACTATATAGGTAACTGAGTAAAATATACAAGAAAAAGAACCATTCCCCAATTAATAAATGATCAAAGATACGAGTAGACAGTTTTCAGAGGAAGAAATCCAAGCTATCAATAGCCATACGAGAAAATGCTCTAAATCACTAATAATTAGAGAAATGCAAATTAAAACAACTGTGAGGTACCATTTCATACTAATTAGATTGGCTAAGATAACAAAAAGGGAAAAACCACAAATTGTGGAAGGCCTGTGGGAAAATAGGGACTCTATAATGCACTATTGTTGGAGCTCTGAACTAACCTAACCATTCTGGGCAGCAATTTGGAACTATGTCCAAAAAGTTATTAAAGCTATGCATCGCCATTAATCCAGAAATACTACTACTAGGTCTACATCCCAAAGAGATCAAAGAAAGAGGAAAAGGACCCATATTTATAAAAATATTCATAGCAGCTCTTTTGTGGTAGCAAAGATTTGGAAACTGAGGGAGGATGGTCATCAATTGAGGAATGGCTGAACAAGTCATGGCATATGAATATGATGGGATAATACTACTATGCTATAGGAAATGATGAAGGGGATAGTTTTAGAAAGACCTAGGGAGATTTATACGAACTGATGCAAAATGAAATTAGTAGAACTCAGGACAATTTTATACAGAACAATTTTATGCAATAGTGGTAATATTGTGAAGATAATCAACTTTAAACACTTGGTAACTCTGGTCAACACAATGACCAAACACAATTCCATAGGACTCATGATGAAACAGGCTGTTCACTTTCAGAAAGAGAACTGATGGTGTCACAGTGCCAATGATACATACATACATATATATATATATATATATATAGATATATATATATATATATATATATATATATATATATATATATATATATATATATATGTATATATATATATATACACATACATACATATATATATATGTATATATATATATACACATACATACATATATATATGTATATATATATATATACACACACACACACACACATACATACATATATGTGTATATATATATATGTATATATATAATATATATACATACATACATATATGTGTGTGTGTATATATATACATATACATATATATATACATATACATATATATATACATATACATATATATATATATACATATACATATATATACATATACATATACATATATATATATATTTGGATATGGCTAGTCCTGGAATTTATTTTACATGATGATTATACATATCTACAATGCATTTTGTTTTACTTGTCTTCTGAATGGGTAGTGGGGTGGTGAGAGGAAAAGAATTTAGAGCTGAAAATTAAATAAAATTGACTTAACAAAACAAAATAATCTTGGTTGGCTATAAGGTTCAGCAAACCACAGCTTGAGGACCAGATCCAACCATTCTTAGTTTATGGTTCACACAAAAATAGGCTGTGATAAAATTCAGACACCCCTAGGCTAGAATAACCCTGGGATGAGATAAATTTATGAAAATGAAAATTAATAGGGATAAATGTACTGTACACTTGAATTTTAAAAAATCAACCTCATAAGTTCAATATGGGGGGGGGAGGATATGTGTCTAGCGAGTAGTTTTTCTGAAACAAATGTGGGGATTATAGTGAGCTGTAAGTTCAGTGTGAATCAACAGAAATGTGAGATAGCAGCCCAAACAGCTAATACAACCTTAGGCTGCGGAAAAGATACAGAAGTACAACAGTATTACTAGAGAACTAAGAGTTCTATTGTAATTTGCTCTGGTCAGATCACATCTGGAATATTGTATTCAGTTATGGGCTCTACATTTTAAGAATGGCATTGAAGAATAGCTTAGCTGGAGAACATCCAGAAGAGGCCATTGGGATGGTGAAGGGTCTTGAGAATCCTCCAAATGCCATCTGAGGATTGGTGGAAGGAACTTGAGGTATTTAACCTTGAGAAAGGAAGACTTAAAGGGAAAATGATAGCTGTCTTCACCTCAAGAACTGTCATATGGAAAAGTGATTATACTTGTCCTGCTTGTGTCCCAGAGGGCAAGACTAAGGACAAAGGGTAGAGGCTATAATAAGGTGTATTTGGGCCTGATAATGGGAATAGTTCCTAACAGTTCCCTGTCCAAAAGTGATTTGGATTGCCTGGGGAGGTAATGAGCTCCATCTCCTTGAAGAGTTAGAAACAGAAAGGCAGGATGATGACTTGCCCCAGGACCCATTAAGTTGTAGAGGGGATACTTGCTTAGATATGGACTAGACTATAGATGGCTTCTGCAGTCTCCTTCAGCTTTGTTATTCTGTAATCCTGTGGCTGTCTATTGAAGCAAAAGAACTTAGAGTCAAACAATTGGCCAAATTCTTATAAAGGAATTTCTTTCAATGGGCACAGAGAATTTGGATGATCCAAGTCCACATCCCATCTTTTTCTTAGTAACTGGATTTAATGGCTTGTATTATCCAGAGAGGTGACTTAATTCACGCATAAGATTCTTTCCAGTTATGATCCTCTAATTCATTACCTTATATGTGCATAGTCTCCAAACAACGAAAGAAAAAACTTTCTACTCTTTTCTCTTAACCATTCTGAGCCTATTTCTAATAGTTAAGGGGCTACATTTGCATTAGAAAAGTTTCCTTTATAGCAAAACTGTTCTTATGCCAAAACATTTTCCTTGTTGAATTGATTCTCTCAAACAGTATGCAAACAGAAACTAACCTATGTTTGTCAACTCTGAAAATGCTATGTTGTGCTTTCAGCGGGGGATACCAATTGGAATTCCTATGAAACGACAATGATGCATGTGTACACTCCTAAACGAATAGAAGTTCCTGACCCAATTCGGTGAGTTATGTTTTGATATAAATACTTCTGACTAGTTCATTTTGTTTTGTTGTGTAGCACCAAAATTTTAAAAAATAATTATCAGTCAATAAAAGCATCACTGAACATCTACTGTGTGCCCAGCACTGTTCTAGGTGCCATCAGCACTGAAAAATGGAAGGAAGAGCCATCCATACATCTCCTGCCCTCCAGGATTTATAGTATAATTTGGGAGGTTGAAGAGACTGACAAATAAATAACAACAATGGGTAGGATGGCCATAACATAGCATCAGATATCATAAAAGTTTTGTATTTGGAACCAGAAGACTTGGATCCAAATCCCTGCTGGCTACATCACTTGTTTGGCCCTGGACCAGTTACTTCCCATCTCTGGAACTCAGTTTCCTCATCTTGAAAATGAGCAGGGGGGGGTTGGATGTGGTAATAACTAAGGACTTGTCCAGCTAATAAAAAGATATAATCCTATGATCCTGGGAAATATGAAATTTATAATATCTATATCTACATGTAATATAAAATGTATGTAAAACATAGAAACATGTGCATGGCTCATTAGAGCTATCCCAAAAGGGTTGCCAAGAGGATTTTAAAAAAAAAAACTACCCAGGGATTCAATCTAAATTTAACCCATAAGAAGACATCAAGAAGGGTTAAATGGCTTTCTTAAAGGTCCTGTAGAAAATTGCTCTAGCCTGTGATTTGACCACATGTAAGATAATTAATATATTTACACAGTTCTCTATCATCCCAAAATGTTTTCTCATTTGGTTCTTAGAACAGTCCTATGAGGTAAGTTATCCCAAATACAGTTTCCATTTTAAAGTTGAAGAAGCTGAGGTCAGAGAGATTATGTTTTAAAATATATAGCTACTTGGCTTTCCTGTGGATACAACCTGAATTTTCTCAATGGTTTGTTGTGTTCAGTCTTTTAAAATATATGAAAATACTTTTATTAGAATATGGCCCCTTCCTTCTTTTTTTCTTTCCAAGTCTGGCATACTTTTGCAAACAGCCATCTCGCAGCATTGTTTATCCTCAAGAAACTCTACAGAGTTTATTATATTTGGCCTTGTCTACTTGGTTCAGCCTATCTTTAAAAGTTAGAAGTTTCTACCAGTATTTCTACCAGAAATACTTCTGGTAGAAGTGCTTGGCATGCTTTGTTGTAACATATGTCATCAGATTCCCTTTTACAATTTCTGTTGTGTTTCTTACAGTCATAGTGATTTCAAAAGGTTAGGATATTCATACAAGCTCAATGATCCTATCGGCAACCAAACGGTATACAATGAACAGTATGATTGGAAACCATACTCTAGAGAAGAAATGATAAATACTGCAACATCTTTGGGAGGTGTCATCAATAGGCCCCATCCTAGCAAGGTAAGCCATGTAAATACATACAGATAAACCTAAGCAGAATTTCATTGTACAGCAATAATGAATCTGAAAACGTACAAATACGTATGTCTCAAAGAAACTTCAAATGCCATTATGAAGACCATAGTTTCAAGTAGCATTTCATTGGATCAAATGTGAATGGAACCACCTAATAATAAAATTCCAGGGTTAGCAAGTGTTATTATGATGTCTTAGGTGTGGGTTTACTTGGAGGAATTTGGTATGAATAGTCTTTCCTCCCTCTCACCTCACATTTTCTATGTATTTTCTTTTGTACTATAATTTTTTTGTATATTCACCATGTTCCTCCTTCTAAGTAGCAGCAGCTCCATGCCAACCTTGTCTCCACACTCTTTGTCATATCTCCTCTAGTGTCTATTAGTGTTTAACATGTAGTAGGCTCTCTCCATAAATAGTTATTGAATAGATTTGAAATGCATAACATTGAGAAAGCATTGTCTAGAATTTTGCAGATTTTTATTGACCTTCTTAATTTATGTAGACTGGGGCAGGGGGAGTGGTATATAGGCTGTGGGCATGAATCCAGGTCAGCAAAATGGAGAAGGGAACAGTAGGTTACTGAATTGCAACTTCAAAATTTCAGGAATTTGGAAATCAAAGATTCCTTTGATGGAAAAAGATTAAATGAAGCATTTAACTTTTCTGAAAGTGAAACTTTGTGGAAAGTATGCTGGTCCTGATTCAGGGCTCTCTTGGAGTTTATATGCAATGACTTTTACTTATTTCTGAAGGGTTGTGAGGTCATCCTTAATGCCCCAAAATTCAAAGGAGTGACCTGGTCAGACCTGAACTTTAGGAGTAGTACCTGGAGAGAGCCAAATTTCCCTTATTCCTTAGAAGATGAAGAATGGAAGTGATCTAAGATAAAGAATTAGTTAAGGATTCCAATAGTCATAATAGAATGGTGTAATAGAATGGGATGACAGATGACAGTGTGGACTGAGGTGTGGGGTAGGGCTAAAGTGTGGGTAAGGAAGCTGTGTGGAACATGGATTGGAGAAGAGAGAGATGAGGCTGGAAGCTATTGCAATAGTCAAGGAAGAGGTGATAAGGGCCTGACTTAGGGTGAGTTGTAGAAGCAGAGATAAAGGAACATATGTGAGATGTTTCAGAAGTAACCTGATTGGCTGAGAAAAAATGAGGAGCTGAGGAGAACCTGGGTGATTGGAAGGATGTTGGTTCCCTTGACATGAATAGGAAAGTTCAGAGTAGGGGGTATGGGTTTTTGTTTTTTGGAAAAGATGATGAGTTCTGCTTTGGAACATGAAGTTTGAGATGCCCATGGGCTGTATCTCTGGGTTGAAATGTCCAATAGATTATTAGTGATATGTGAGACTAGAGCTTAGGAGAAAAGAAACTAGGAAGGATATGTAGATTTGGAAATCATCTGCATAAATGTGGTAACTGAATCCACAGGAACTAATAAGGTAGCCAAGTAAGAGTGTAGAAAGAGAAAAGAAGGCCTTGGACAGAGTCTTGGTGGTTGGTGGGGCAAGGTATGTCATAGGGTCATGGGGTCTAAAGATGGACAAGACCTCTCAGAGACCATCTCAGTCAGCTCCTTCCTTTTACAGACAGAAGAAACTAGGGTCCACAGGAAGTTAAGTGACTTGCATAGGGTCACACAGTCAGAACCAGAGACTGGATCTGAATGCTTACTAGCACTGAGCATCCCAGTGCTGTTTTCACTGGGGTGTGGGTGATTCAACAAAGGGCACTGAGAAAGATAAGTAGGAGGAGAGTCAGGAGAGAGCAGTGGCATGAAAATAAAGGGAGGAAAGAGCATCCAGGAAGTTAGAAAGAATATTCAACAATGTGACAGAGAGGTCAAGAAAGGATGACAACTGAGAAAATACCAAAGAATCTCGAAGCTAAATTAGTAAAGAAAGTCCACCAGATTTGAAGTATATTTCCCCCTTTTCCCTCTGGAGAGGTTTTAGTTTGGCACAGTCACCAGAGGTGGGGTACCCTCCAGTTGGTGCCATCTGGCCATTCCTTCCCAGTGCTTTTTGCTAGATTGTCCATAATGCAATGGAAAGATTGTCCATACTGTCTTGGAATCAGTAAAGCTGGGTTTAAATCCAGTGTCTGGGGCTGACTCTGTGGCCTTAGACAAGTCACTTAATCTTCTGGAGACCTCATCTGCCAAAGAAGGAGGGTATTGGATAAGATGATCTCTGAGGTCCTTTTTAGCTTTAGACCCATGATCCAATGAGATGTCTTGACAGTGAACATCATGGGGTCTTTTGTGACCAAGGGAACTATAAAGTCAAGGCCTCCTAAATGGGTTGGAGTAAAATCACTTGGACATTGAGCTAAATTTATAGTCACTACCTCTGTGCAGGTAAGTAACTGGGGAAGTGGGGTGGAGGGTGGGGATATCCAAGGACTGAAATAGCTGTGAACTGAAGTTTCAGTGATAATAATACGGCCTGCTTTTATATAGCATTCTATACTTTACAAAGCGCTGTACTTAAACAAAAATCGAAACCTGTGTCATGAGGTAGAAGTGTGTTGGAGGTTCAATTTTTTCAGTGTTAGCATTCATACTTTGGAAATAGATTATAAATCAGGGCTTGGTTTATTAGTTTGCTAATTGTCTTAGAGCCTTAAGAAAGTGATGGAGAAAATATTAATAATGCAGATTAAACATAAAAGTATATTGGCTGTTCATTTCTCATTTTTCAAGAGCTGGTTGCAAACATTTACCAGCACACCCCTGCCTACAAGTGTTATTGTTTCCATTTTATAGATGAGGAAGAAGAATCAAAAGGGTTGTTACTGGTCTATGGTGGCATAGCTAGTTGGTGGTGGAGCTGTGTGTAATTCAAACCCAGGCCTTCTGGTTCCTATCCAGTCCTCTTTCCATCATACCATTGCCAAGAAGTCAAGGCCAACTAACTCTGTGTATAAGGTTTCTACATACAGAAGATGACTTTCTAGCTGTGGTGGCATGTGAATAGCTCAGGGATGCTGAGCAGATGTCTCTGGGAGATCTTATTTGTACTGCTAATGCTCATTTCTCAGGGGAGCTCTGGGGAACTTTCCAACCTACTAGTCCAAATAGAGCTGTAAGAAACCCCAGCAGTAGCCCCTACATATCAATAGTCCTAGATGATCATGACGTGAAAAATAATAGAAGGAAAAATAAAGACTATGAATTTATAAGAAATGGATAGATAAAAAATCAAATATTTATGGAATTTTGAGGAAACTGATGCTCTGGCTGGCCATATAGGCTATGAAGGCTGGGCAGTGCAGTAGGAAATCTGTGGGACCTCTTTGCTACTCTGACATGGGAGGCCAGAACTGGAATGACTTAGAATTTCTCCTCAGTATTAGAATCTTGGTGATAGGTATAAGGCAAAGGTGGGGAACCTGAGGCCGTCAGGCCACATGTGACCCTCTAGGTCCTCAAATTTGGCCCTTTGACTGAATCCAAACTTCACAGACAAATCCCCTTAAAAAAAAAGATTTGTTCTGTAAAACTTGGACTCAGTCAAAAGGCGACACCCAAGAACCTGGAAGGCCACATGCAGCCTCGACACCACAAGTTTCCTACCCCTGAACTCTAAGGTGGCCACTCTTCAACATTTTCCCCCTAGGAGAAACCACTAAGGAGGCCCTGGTGTGGATGCACATACAATTTTGCCTTGTTGGTCTTATTTTCTTACCTTTGCAATGAATAATGCCTAGAATGTTAGAACTTGAAGAGAGCTTAATTAACGCTAATCTAGGCCAAACTCTTCATTTCACAGATAAGGATGCTGAGGAGGTTCAGAAGTGACTTTCCCAGGATCACATAGCAAGTCTGTGGCAGAGATGGGAGGGAATCAAACCCCATTCTCCTGATCCCCAGTTCAGCATACTCTTGTTCCTCTAGTGCAGCACTTCTTTTTTGTTTTTTGTTTTTTGTTTTTTGTTTAATTTGGTTAGGCAATGGGGTTAAGTGACTTGCCTAAGGTCACACAACTAGTGACTTACGCAGCTAGTAAGTATTACATGTCTGAGGCCAGATTTGAACTCAGGTCCTCCTGAATCCAGGGCCAGTGTTCTATCCACTGCATCACCTAGCTGCCCCTATTGTAGCATTTCTTAAACTGTGGGTTGTGACCCCACATGGGGTCATGAAACATTTGGCAGCAGTAAAAGTTTTCTGAACACGCAACGACCAAAACTTAATTACAAATCAAATGTGTAATGAATCCGAGGTGTTTCTGGCAGCGCTTGCCCATGTTACATTGTGCAACTTCACTGCAGCCTTGGTTCTGAACACAAAGCATGCGCACTTTGCACTGTGTGTGCCCTCAGGCAATGAATGTTGCTGAAACACCAAAAGGGGTCACTAGTGGAGAAAGTTTAAGAAGTGTATATAATAACTAAAGAACTGTGTGATAATAGAAAGTCAGGTAAATTGGCAATGCCTTGTAGAATGGAATTAATGATTGTTTTTATATTTGGATTTAGCTGTGCATAGTCTTATTGGAATATGTATTACATATACATGTGTGTATATATTACACGCATATGCCCATATACACATACACATATACCTATACCTATACCTATACCTATACCTATACCTATACCTATACATTGCAGCTAGGTGGCACAGTGGATAGAGAACTGGCCCTGGAGTCAGGAGGACCTGAGTTCAAATCTGACCTCAGACACTTACTAGCTGTGTGACCCTGGGCAAGTCACTTAATTCTGTTTGCCTCAGTTTCTTCAACCATAAAATGAGCTGGAGAAGGAAATGGCAAACTAGTATCTTTGCCAAGAAAACTCCAAATGGGATTACAGATTGTTGGACATAACTGAAAGAACACAATAAATACATTTATTTATATAATAAATAATATAAATATATATGTGAAATGCTGAGTGGTATACCAGCTGCATTTTTATTAGAAAGGATGACTATTTCTAACAATTTTGTTCATATTGATAGGAATTTATGATCTGGAAACTACCTCGACAATTTTCAAATACGCAATCAGACTGTTCTTCTCCATGGAGAATTCCTGCTACAATCAAAGAAATCCATAAAGCAATAGCAGATCAGTATACCTCTAGTTTCCGAGAAGACTACTTGGACAAATCAAAATGTAAACCCCCTGGTTTTCCTTGTTTCCTGCATGTGTTGGGTTCCATTCTTCTCTTCATACATAGAGACTGATTGCTCCATTTCTCCTCTGAAATGTAGGGGAATTGACCAGCAATTAGCCCCAGTCTCCATCTAGGACTAATGACGCTGGAATGGGAGCAGTGCACCAAGATTTCACCATAAGTCAAACAGTGTAAAGCCTAGGTGCCCCCTTCCAGACGTGCTAGGCCTTTAGAAAAGTTCACTCTGCAGAATTCTTAACTAAACAAGGCATAAAGGATATCACAAAAGGTAAAATAGATAATCTTGACTATATGCAATTAAAAACATATTTGTACAAATAAAATAAATGATGGAATAATTAAAAATATGTAGGGCAGGGAAAATATTTTCATCAAATATCACTGTTAAAAATCTGTTATCAAGAATATACAGGGAAATGATACATATATAAATGTTATGCAACATATAGACATGTATCCCTCTATTGAACATATATTCCAAGGAACTCAAAGAAAGACAAAGCTCCTATACGTACCAAAATATTCATAGGCAGAGCTCTTTGTGGTAGCAAAGAAGTAGAAACAAATTGAATGTTCGCTGATTGAGAAATGATTGAAAAAAAAACACATTATACAAATATAATGGAATAGTACTGTGGAATAAGAAATAACAAATAGAAGGAATTCAGAGAATCATGAGATTTGTATGAATTCATGGAGAGCAAAGTAAGCAGGCCAAGAGACTAATATATACAATGACTACAACAATGTAAATATAAACATTGTTAAGAGGGAATTGAGCTCTAAATAAAAGAAAAAGCAGATCTTGGAGAGGAGATAATAAAACATTCTGGCTCCCTCATGCTGGATAGGTGGAGGACTACTTGGACAAACGATATATTTGTGTAATGTATGTATGTATACACATGTACAAACATGCATGTATAAGTGATATATGTACAGGATTATACATGATATACAATTATTTGGTATATGTGTATATATAAACACATACATATGTAGTATAAATATGTTTCTGCTAAATTGCTTTTCTTTATCACAAGAGAATTTGATCTAGAAGGGATACTGGAAATGAACTATGATGTATAGGCAAAAGACACAAATAAAATGTATTTCTTAAAGACAGATGAGCTACCCCAAGTTTAAGGTACTTTCTAGGTCCACATACACTCAACAACACCACAGCTAATGAGCCCCCACTTTACTTTTAGTAGTCAAGCACAAGAAGTGATTAGTTCAAAGCAAAAGTAGTTAATAAAATGGAATAATAAGTAGCAATAGAACATCCCTCCCACATATTCCCACAAATACAGACATTGGTAAGAAGAGCAAAGGTGTAGGGATCATGCATGAGGACACAACCATAGCAGATGTGTGGCACTCGTGGATAAAGAAGCATATGAAATAACCACGTGGGGTTTATACAGAGGTGTGGAATGTCATTTGGTATCGTCATTATATTGCTCAGGTTTTTGCTCGGAGAAGCAGCTGAGCCCGGCAGAATTTTGACAGCTACCAAAGTCTTAGCCCTATGGCTTAAGTTCATTGGGAACACAAGCCAACTAGCCAGCTAATTTGACCCTAATGACATTTAATTTGTCTTTTGAACTTATTTCCTTCTGCTCATAGAATCAAAGCTCCTGTCTTAAACCCCTTATTTGATCTAGGAATAGGAAGCCACTTTTAACTTTAATTTCTAATTGTCAATAAGCCTTTCCCTTCAGCTCGTTTTTATGAGACCAAATTCCAAATGTCAGTGAACATTCATTAAACACCTATGTGCCAGATATCCTGCTAAATGCTTAGAGATACAAAGAAATACAAAGGCCACAAATGGCTTTGTGGATCTGAGGGATTACAGTCCCCCTCCCAAATTTCTAGATCTCCCACGCAAAAGAAAAGGGAAAGGGAAGACCAGAACAAAAAAGGCTAAGGAGAAGTTGGCTTGAAGCCATCACCTTCAAATCTTTCATTCCAAAATATTGCCTTTCACATGTCAACATGTCTAGCAACAAACTTCCCTGGCTTTGAAGTGACTATACAAAAATTTTCCGCAATGAGAGAAAACTCTCTAGTTCTTGAGCAATAGCACACATTGCAGTATAACTGGCCAGGCTGAGGACTGCAATTTAGAATCATATAGTAGGACAAAAGAACTAACCAACACATATGAAAATAAGTCCTTTACCTTGGCCTGATTAGTACCATGTTCCTAACCAGTCAAGCCAAGCGGCCTCAGACTCCATGTTTCCAATAAAGGAGCGGATTGCTTCTGCTTCTCATTTGGTCATTTCAGTCACGTCCAACTCTTTGTGATCCCATTTGGGGTTTTCTTGGCAAAGTTACTATACAGTAGTTTGCCATTTCCTTCTCCAGCTCATTTTATAGATGAGGAAACTGAGGCAAACAGGGTTAAGTGACTTGCTACTAGTAAGTATACATGGTCACATTTGAACTCAGGTCTTCCTGACTCTAGGCCTGGCACTCTATTCACTGTGCCACCTAGCTGCTCCAGATTGATTCTTGGTTATATAGTATTTATAAATCAGATATGTTGCCTCCATCTCTAAATATGGGGAGCATATTTCAGTGCAGGAAATAATGAAAGGCAGAGAAAATGGGCTTAAAGTGTTAATTCCACTAAGTTAATTAGACATAATTGGTTACTTTTCCATTCTTTCTAGTAATAAAACTGAAACAAACTATGCAAGTGCCTCTTGATTGGAAAAAATTACTTCCTCGGCGTCTAGAAACTGAGTTTCGGCGTAATTTCCAAGTCCCAGTGAAGATACCTGAATTACGAGACTTGACTTTCAGATATGGATGTAATGCATCATTACCAATTGCTGCTTATGGACCTGGTATGGATAAATTTGGTATTTAAAATAGTGTTGAAGGCTTATCTTCCCAGCTCTAGAAGAATTTTCCCTCAAGAACCACTAACAGGCATCACCATTAAAGCTACATTTGGGGAAGGGAAATAGGAATCAAATGTACCAACTCTGAGTTGTCTCTGTATTACACATCTTGATCGTGTATCTATTTTTGTATACCCCTATCAAGCATTTAAAAACTTATTCACTTTGGAGCCTTTTTATGGGAAGAGGCAGGAAGTAGAAAAACCAGAAGTATCACTTCTTCAAGTCAATAGGACCACTGTGCAGTTAAAAAAGGGTATATTTGGGGCAGCTAGGTGGTACAGTGGATAGAACACCAGCCCTGAAGTCAGAAGGACCTGAGTTCAAATCCGGCCCCAGACCAAATACTTGACACTTACTAGCTGTGTGACTCTGGGCAAGTCACTTAACCCCAATTGCCTTAAAAAAAAAAAGGTATATTTCACTGCTTGAAACACTACTGAGGTACTATGAGCAACCTTAATCTTCGTGGAATTAGGCTTTAATTCTAAATGCAGTGGATTTTTTTCCTGTTCTATTTCTATGCATAAGTCTCATGTCTTCAAGTACTTACACAAGATGTGATATGTGTTGGGGAAAAGAAAAGGGTTGCTCTAATAGGAGAAAAAAAAACCCCACAGAACATCTTTTATCCCAACTTCTCCCATTCTTTTGGGCTCTATGATAGCTTTCTCTAAGGTAAATGTTCAAACTGATGAAATTTAAGCTCCAGATTCTGTTCTCATCAGACTCATTCTTTTATTTTATTTTTAGGACATAAATTCAGATAGTTTGCATATATTGGATGTCTTCAATAATTTGTGGTAGAATCCAGGATTCTGAATAATGATATTCTGGAAATGCCTGGATAATCTAAAGGACATGTGTTCACATTGAACATTGATGCAACAATTGTTTATGTGGAAGAAGAAGAAGAAGAAGAGGAAGAGGAAGAGGAAGAGGAGGAGGAGGAAGAAGAAGAAGAAGAAGAAGAAGAAGAAGAAGAAGAAGAAGAAGAAGAGGAAGAAGAAGGGCACACACACTAGTCATATTCTTGTTCTTTTTGACATCACACTCCCCTCAATTGACTTTAAGAGGGAGCTTTAGCAACTCAAATACTAAATATTTAGCCATCTTCCCATTCTGATGAAAGACTGATAGAGAAAACCTTGTTGGCTTGGGCATGGGTTGGGACTCCCAGAATCACAGAATTTGAGGACCTCTGCAGCTCTCTAGCTGAAACCATGCACAAAAGTATTCCCCATTAGAACATAACTGCCAAAATTAATCCACCTTCTGCTTATAGGCTTCTAAGGAGGAGGAGCTACCTACCATCTTTCAAGGTAGCCCATTCCACTCAGTCCACTAATTGTTATAATTGTTAGGAAGTTTTTCCTGTCATCAAGCCTAAGCTAGTCTCTGCAGCTTCCAACCACTGACTCTGGTTTGATCTCTGGGACCAAATAGAACGAGCCTAATCCCTCTCCTATGTCCTCCCTGATAGTCCAACAAATACTTGAAGATAGCTGGCACGTCCTCCTTGAGTCTTCTCTAGGTTAAATATTCTCAACTCTTCAATCAATCCTAGTGTGACATGGACTCAAGGTTCTTCACTAATCCTGCTAACTCTCTCTAGACACCCTCTGGCTTATCAATGCCTCCCATAAATTGAGGTGCTCAGAACTGAATACAATTCTCTGGGTGTAAGGTCTGATGAGGTCATAGTGGGAAGTTTAAAGATCATTTTTGATAAAGGAAAGTGAAGCAAAACAAAAATTGGACAGATTTCCCTTCCCTCTCTGTTTTCTATCAATGTCCTTATCATCCTCATTCCTTCTTTAAAGCCTCCCTTTTTCTCTCAGAATATTTTTTTAAATGCCTTTATTATTGATTCTACCATCCCTGCTAGCTATCATCCCAAATCTGCTGTGCCTCTTGTGGCTAAATTCTTTGACAAGACTTACATTACTTCCTCTCTCTTTTCTCAACTCTTTACACTCTGGCTTCTGACTTCATCATTACAACAAAACTGTTATTTCCAAAGCTACAAATGGTCTTTTAATTGCCAAAGCCCGTGGCCTTTTCTCAATCTGCATCCCTCTTGATCTTTTTTGTCAAAGCCAATGCTGCCTTTTCTCAATCCTCATCCCTCTTGCTCTCTTTCTAGCTTTTGACACCATCATGTTAATGTTCTATTCTTCCTAGAGTTTCGGGATAATAGTCCATCCTCATTCTCCTACCTATCTGACCTCTCCTACTCAGTCTTCTTTGCTTTAGATTTATGCAGTTGATGGCCATTAAGGGTCTGCTACTTCATTTTTAGCTCCCATGGATTCAATTATCATCTCTATGCTGATGATCCATGGATTCAATTATCATCTCTATGCTACCAATCCTCAAATCTACTTATCCAGTCCTCACCTTTTTGCTGACTCCAGTCTCATATCCTGTATTTAGCTTCTTTGCCTATAGTTGTTCGAATATTGTATACCCCCCATTAATTGTGAGCTCCTTGAGGGTAGTGGTCTGTCTTTTCTCTTTTTAAAAAATCTCTAACACTTAGCACAGTGCCTGGCAAATAGCAAGCACTTAATAAATGCATATTGACTTTTGTCCTTAATCTTCTTTACAACCTCAGCTTATTCAGAACTTTATCACTCCTTAGATTTCATGTAGGACCATGCCATACTTTTAAAATTCATCTTTTATTACCTGGCCTTTTTTCCATCTTCTATACATCCACTTAAAAATTAAATTAGTTGGTGAGTTCCCTATATGTCCACATCATTCTTTTCAGACAAATCCCATTTTTCCTTCAATTTGAACTGTTGATTTTGTGACTTAAGTATTTCATTCTTGAACATTTCCCATAGTTTGTGGACTGACTTCCCCTATAGAACTAAATCCTATCCTTCCTTTCCAAAACTCTTTAAAATGTGCTTTCTTATAATAGAGGGTACATGTCAGATTATTCCTGGACTTCTCTTTTACAAACTCTAGAAGGCGATGGTCATTTTCCCATGAATTCCTATCATTTCCATCCTAGCAACCACTTTCTGTTAATGAGAATCAGATCCAGAATAGAATTTCCTCTTTTTTGTTCCTCTGCCTTTCAGAGGATGAAATTGTCACTAAGGTAATTCAAGAAATTATTAGTTGCTTTATTTTTGGTAAAGTGATCAGTCAGATGTCTGGATAAATGAAGCACCCTATCACCACTCTATTATGACCCTGTTCCTGGATTGTTGTTTCCCAAACTCCTCATCTATTTCTTATTCCTGTCTAGAATGATCTATTAAATTATCTGGTTGAAGGAGATTGTTTTCATCCTTCAAATTTTTCCTTAATTTCTCTTCCCCAAATTCAACCTTTGGTCTCCTTCACTAGAGAAAATCACTCCAAATGACCTACACAATTTCATTATTCTTCTTAGTCAAGGAAAGTCATTCTTTCTATAATTTTGTCTCCATAGAAGCCAGAAGTAGTACCAGACAAATCTTCACAGTTGCTTTGTTTGAAGTGAATCTTCAGATCTTCGGACACAATCATATTCTAATAGAAGAACCAAAACACCTTCCCAAACCAAGCTACTTATAAAGAGTACTTACAGACCTTATTTCATTTGGTCCTATAGCATCAGGATGAGACATTTTCAGCCTCATTTTACAGATGAAGAAACTGAGGTACAGAAAAATAAAATGCTCAAGGTCATAAACATACTAAAACAGTCGAGCTGAAAACCAAATTCACATCTGGCTCCAAGCTGAGCTGTGCTTCTGAGGTTCTATGACTTCCATGGTCTGCCAACTATCAGTCTTCAGGAATCAATTTGATTCAATGAGCTGTCTTAAGTGCCAGACACTATGTTAGGTAATAAGGGTACAAAGACAAAAATGAAGCAGCCTTTTTTTATTTAAAATTTTTTTCTGAAAATTTTCCTAACTGATTTTTTCCCCAATTACATGTAAAAACAATCAGTCTCTACTTTCAAGAAGTTTACAATCTGCTGTACTCATACAATTTCCCGACTGTAGTCCCAGGTGACTAGAAGCTCAAACCTGGATCTCTCTTACATAGTCTCCCATCATTGCTCCAGCAATAAACCCACTAATCTTGTGGCCCTATACCTCCCTCCAGATTTTCCTGGCTTGGTTATTTAAAGAGGTTTTATTTAAAATGGTAAGTTAGTTCCTCACGTCATTGAGGATGCAGATTCAGCCCATCATGGGGATCCATGGCTTCCAGTATAATGTCAAGAGATGGTGATGATTCTTTGCTTACCCATAGGCTTTCTTCCCCTTGACTTTTTTCTCCTTTGTCTTCCCAGTTCCTTCTGTTCTGCTTAGTCACATTTGGAACCAAGAACATTCAAAGAAACAGAGTACATATGAAAGACATTATGGAAAAGAGTACTTAGATTTTGTAATGATTTTGAATTCTCTCAGTGAAACTGAAATCAAGAAATACCTTGATAAAGTTCCAGAGCATGGTAAGTTGATAGACATACTAAGATAAAGTTTGGTCCCTTGGTAGAACAAAACCCATTGGGTCTTCGTCAAATACGAACTGTCCCACTTTATGGTCATCCCCCATCACACTACTTACTATGCTCAATTCTCTGAATTGATATTTCCTTTGAAAGAGGCCCTAATCATAATGTTTCTATATAGGAAATGAGCTACATGGTCATTTTTCTTTTTTTCTGGCCTTTTTCTGGCTATTAGTTAGTGCCCTTAAGATGGCTATGTCAACCAATCAGGTATTTATTATGCACCTAGCACTATGTTAGGCATTGGGTATACAAGACAAAAAACATACAATGTTAGAGTGCCAAGTCTGGAGTCAGGAAGACTCATCTTCCTTTAAATCCAGCCACAGACACTAGCTGTGTCACCTTGGGCAAGTCACCTTATTTGCCTTAGTTTCTTTATCTGTAAAATGAGCTAGAGAAGGAAATGGTAAACCATTCCAGTATCTCTGCCAAGAAAACCCCAGATGGGGTCATGAAGAGTGAGACGTGACTGAAACGATGAACACTACACTACTACTAGGATCCCTGAAGTCCATAGTCTTTTCTAAAACTATTTCCATCCTTCAAATAGAAGAAAAATCAGCTCTTATTCCTCTAGCTTTCTTCTTTTATTCACATACCTCTAGCTCTCTTCTCTAGAGTTACATCTCAGGAATTCCTTTTTTGGAGCAAAAGTAGGAGCTGTGTACTTCCTGAAGGCTGAGATGCAGCTAAAGATGAGGGAAGAGGGAAGGCAAGGAAGGGGATAGAAGAGGGGGAGGAAGGAGATGGAAAGTGCATAGCAGAACAACTTTGATCAACACAAAAGAATGGGTTGAAGGCAAGGGCTTCAGACCAGTTGAGAAAGAGCTGGAATAATGTCCTACCTTCTTCTCCTTTCCCCCTTCACCATGTTCTTCCTCCTCCCCAAGCTCAGACTAAGGACATGTGTAAGAAGCAGATGTGCTGCCTTACTCAGTCAGGAAGGGGCCAGATCCAGTTGTGTGGGCACTGAAGACAGTTAGTGGCTCTCAGCCAGGGTTTGACAACTTCATAAGCAAGCTATAGACCTGTTAGTTAGCTACACTGGATCCAGCTGGTTTACTTTAAATTCTTCACCTTGTTAATTTCCTTCAGCTTTATTTTAGAGCTAGAAAGCCATTTCCTAAGATTTCTAAGTTCATTGGGGTGGGAACAGAGAAGAGGGAGTTATTGAGGCATCTGCAAGAGGGTCAGACTCGCCACCAATGCTAAAAGCAATAGACTTTTATTATATGAATGTTTTAATCTAATCCAAAAGAAGGCTTGAGACTTAAGGGGACATCTAAGGCTGGGAGCACAAGGAGAAAGGCAAGGAACATCAAGGAAAGTCTATAAGCAGAGTGGTCATCAGGAGATGAAAGAGGTTCAGCTACTGTCCGTGCATGTGGGCTATCAGGTTCAGCTATCTGTTCTTATTCCCTAATCATTGAAGGAGGGGGACTGGGAGCCCATTTTTTTCCCCCAGCAAATGAAGGATGCCAACCTCTTACCCTGGAAACTGGAGCCAATATTTCTGAGACTGGAGTTATAAACTGATTTCCTTTGGATACCATGTGTACTTTCCCCCATACTAGGTCCACATACTACGTCCACAGGCTGATCTCTCATGCTAGGGCCAATTCATATACTAAGACAGCAGAGGGTTCACTTTTGGGAGCAACCCCTAAAAAAAGGGAACCCAGAGGTTTTGCAGGGCGTCGGGGAGAACCTCATTTAGGCACATCTAATTGGTTCCCATCTCTGATGTCTCAGGCAGTCAGGTGCCATTTAGCAGAAGGAGGTTTCCAGGCATAAAAGATCCCAGAAAAAGGGAGGGAGAGGGGGTGGTATTTGGAGCAGGGACAACTTGTAAGAAAGGTCAGAGAGGTTTTTTCCTTATCTGCCAAGGAGATGATAAAATGTGCTAAATAATCAAATTTTACTATTCACAGTTAACTTTTTAAGGCAGCTAGATAGGCATAATGGGTGTGTGTGTTAGACTTGGAGTCAGGAAGGCCAGATTTCAGATCCTGCCTCAGACACCTGCTAGTTGTGTGATCTTGGACTTAAACGCTTACCCACACTCAAACTTAGTTTCCTGTAAAATAATAATAACTTGTTATTGTAAAAATTATCATTATTTACAACAATACAAATAGTTAATAATATCTCTAATTTATTATTGTAAATATTATCATTATAATAATATAAATATTTAATAGCCCCTATTTAACAAGGTTATTTTGAGGATCAAATATGTATAGTGTGCCGCAACCTTAAAGTGCTATTTAAATGCTAGATATTGTTAGTATTTTTATTAGGGGCTCCTTTCTATGAATGTGATTCATTGTTGGTAGCATCTGTTTTCAATCAATTGTGGTTGACATTTGAATTAAATCAGCAATTTTTTCTCAGTCATATTAATTGAAATATAGTTATGATTTTATAATGAAATAAATAATGATTTGTGTATTTTTCTTTACTTGTCTCTTATCTTTCAAGAAGAGGAAAATAATTCATTAAATTAGCCAGGTTGACCAGAAAAATAACTCTTTTCCCCTACAAAATATTAGTGACAATAGCCTAAGATATTTGCCACTGCTATCCATATGGCCCAAGCTGATTTTCCAAATATTAAGTTTACTCTTGCCAATCATTAAATAATTATGCCCTCCTATGTACATTTGGATCATATCCTCTAAGTCACATTGTTCTCTACCTGTAACATTACTTTGTAAGTCTTACATTCCTTAACATACTCAACTTTATTAAAACAGTGGTATACATTACTTGCTTCTATTCTAGACTCTTTTTAGCATTCTAAAAAAATTAAACAAAACTTTTCCCCCTTACTTCCAGAAAGAAAAATTCTTCAGAACTTCATTAATGAAAATTACAATAGTGGCAACAAGCATAAATAAGTAAGTTTAGCCAATGTCTGTGGATATCAACCTGGTGCTTAAGGAACAGATTCATACTTCTGTCAATATTGGAAAATAATAAGATGGTTTTTAATGTGAATGTGTTGTCTTAAAGTTCTTGTGTTAATCATAATCAATTCCTCATGTGTCACTCACCTCCTCAAAAACCTTCAGGGGCTCCCTATTGCCTTTAGAATAGAATATACACTTTTCAACCTTGTGTTTAAGAATTTCCACAGCCCGATTTCACCTTTCTACACTCCTTTCACTTTGCTCCTCTTCATGTCCTCTATAGTCCAGTCATACCAGATGATTAAATGTTCCCAGAATCTGACATAGCATCTCCTATGTCTGGGCATTTGTGCAGGCCTCCTCATTCCTGGAGTGTACTTTCTCCTTAGCCCTGCCTTTTACAACTCTTCCTTTCTATCAAAGTTCATCTCAGGTGCTACCTACTGCAGGAAGTCTTTCTTGAATCCCCCAGCTGAAAGTCTTCTCTTTCCTCAGATTATCTTGGAGTACTTTGTCTATCTCCTTTGTCCCTACTGTCCCCTCCCCACTTTGTATTATACTTATCTATGTTCAGGTCACATTCCTTTTCCCCACAATTGAAATGTAAGGTCTTTATATCTCTAGCACCCAACACAGTGCCTTGCATATAGTAGGGGTTTAATAAATGCTTGTGTAATGCAATAATGAATTTAACAGTTCATCATTTTAAAATCATCAAGAAAAACTAAAAATATAATCTTAATTTGGTTCTTCCTTTAGCAAAATTGTAGACTGATTACCTCATCCTACTAGTCTTTTTAAAGGGAGACAATCCTAATTTTGGTGCAAACTTCGGTGTAATAGAAGAAAGTGATTATTTCCTACATACATGTACATACCACGTAACCTGGAAAAAGCCTCAAAAATGGTGGTCAGACCTACAAAGCCTGTTTAGAAGCATGTTATTTTGCTGAACTTTCTGTGTTAAATACCAGAAATGAGCACTAATGAGTGTGCCAAGGAGATGCTTTGCCTCAGAAAGCACTTAGGCAGGAGATTCTGTATAAAGTACCAGAAAACTTGCAAGCTAAAGACATTGAGGTGCATTTGAAAATTGTGCCTCTGCCCCCACACAATTATACTTCCTAAAACAGCAGTTCATTTCCATTTGGAGGTAGGGCAGTACAAAAGGCCATAGCTATGATATGCAGGTCCAGTCACAGCTTTAACAGAGACTACCATATAGCTTTCCTGGCTTTAATGGCTCCAAAGTCATGGAAGGTACTATCAAAAAGGAACACATACTGGATAATATCAAAGAATCATAATTTGAGAGTAGGAAGGCATCTCATTGGTCAACTAGTCCAGCCTTTGATACCCAAAAGAAACCCCTCCCCAACTATAACAACCTAACAAGCAATCATCCAGCCCTCTGATTGAAGACCAATGGGTTGAGGAGCCTAACACCTCCCCAGGCAGCTCATACCATTTCTGCACAGCTCTAATTATTGGGAGAGGTGTCAGCTAAGTGATGCCAGGCCTGGAGTCAGGAAGACCTGAGTTCAAATATGGCCTCAGACACTTACTCGTTGTGTGACTCTGGGCAAGTCACTGTTTGCCCCAGTTTCCTCTTCTGTAAAATGAGCTGGAGAAGGAAATGGAAAACCACTCCAGTATCTTTGCCAAGAAACTCCAAATGGGGTCAGGAAGAATCAGACACAACTGAAACAACTGAACAACAATAAAGCTGATGATTCTCCAATGTACTTATCTAGCTCTACTCTCTCCGTGGCCCTTCAGTCTCCCATCTCCACTTGCCTGTTAGGCAGCTCAAACTGGAGATCCCACAGATACCTTAAACTCAGCATGTCCAGAATTGAGCTCATCATCTTTCCCTCCTCAAACCCACTCCTTTTCCAAACTTCCCAATTACTTTTGAGAGCACCATGTCACAACCTATATGTCACCCTTAATTTCTCACTCTCTCTCAATCCTCGTATCTAATTAGTTACCAAGTCCTGTCAATTCTACCTTCACATTTCTCATGTATCACCCCTTTCTCTTCTCTGATCCTATAACCACTCTGATGTAGGTCCCTCATGCCTGAACTATTGCAGTATAACCTCCTGGTTCACCTCCCTTCCTTGTCAAGTGTCTCCCCATTCCAGTACAGGCTATCAAATGGAGCTTTCTAAAATTCAGGTCTGACCATATCACTCCCTTATTCGACAACCTCTAGTGGCTCCCTATTACCTCCAACATCAGATAGAGGGCGTCCCAAAAGTTTTAGTGCAGTTTTAAGCTTTAATAGCTCTCTTCGGCTTTCGAGGTCTTCCATGACTTTGCCCTTTCCTGTCTTTAATGCCTTCCCTCTGAGATTATTTCCAATTCACTCCTTGTTTGTGCATAGTGTTTACATGATGTTTCCCCCATTAGATTGTAAGCTCCTTGAGGGTAAGGATTGTTTTTCCTTTCTTTGTATTCCCAGTGCTTGGTGCAGTGCCTGGCACATAGAAGGAGCTTAATAAATGCTTGTTGACTTGACTTGATTTTCTTACTCTTTTTTTTCTTACTTAGGGGTAGGGAAATCTATGTGGCCTCATGTCCCTGAATAGCCAACCTGACTTAGGAGAGTTGATCATTTGTGCTTCTCTTTACAGAAATAATTGTGAGCCTAATATCTTTAGGATTATTGTTCAATATTTTTATCCTATGTTATACGAGTAATTTTTGATAGATTTCTATGTATAACACTGATATAAGACTTCTCCTATAGTGTATTTACTGAGAAAGGAAACGAGTTTATTAAGCACCTACTTATGTTCCAGGCACTGTGCTTAAGCACTTTGAAAACATCTCTTTTAATCCTCAGCTCAACCCTGGGAAGTAGGTGCTATTATCCCTATTTTGTAGCTGAGGAAGCTGAAGCAAACAGAGTTTAAGTGACTTGCCCAGGGTCACACAGCTAGTAAGTGTCTGAGACCAAATTTGAACTCAGCTCTTCCTGACTGCAGACTCAGCACTCTTTCCACTGAGCCACGTAGAGGCCCTTCATAATGGGCCCTATTAAATAGCTCTCTTTGTTTAGCAAATTTGTGTGGTGATTTTGTGAGTCCTGAAAGGAGCCCAATATTCCTGTCCCCTGACAGATTTGGAGGGGTGCAACAAATTCCATAGCTGTAAAGAGTGGGCTCTTCTTCCTTTTCCAGCAGGCTGAGTGAAAATGAAACATTGCTGCATCAAGCAACTCTTACTCTCTGGCAGAATCAGCAGCGATGACAGGCGAGGTGGGCTGCCACCCACTTGCAACGCAGAATCCCAGGATGAAGAGGCCTCAGACAGTCCGACTCGCACTTTATAGATGAAAGAATGGGGAGGCCCCATGAAATGAAGTGACTTCTCTAAAGTCTCGCAGAATCTCAGAGTTCAAAGTGACCTCATCAACCACCTGGCCCAACCTATACACCAAAAGGGACCCTCATGTTAAGATACCAAAACAAGTCATGATTCATTCTCTGCTTGAGATCTCTAATCGGGAGGAAATTTATTCTGACATCAGACCTAGATTTGCATCTTTAAAACATCCTTCCAATGACCCTGATTCTGCCCTACCGGGGAAATGCAGAATAAATTTTCTTGGGCCATCTTTTCTGTATGACAGCCCTTCAAATATTTGAAGACAGCTATCATCCCACAGGCCGCTGGACGGCTCAGTGGATAGAAGGCTGGGCCTGGAATAGGGAAGATCTGACCTCAAATCTGGCCTCAGATACTTAGTAGTACCCTGGCCAAGTCACTTAACCTCTGACTGCCTTAATCCACTGGAGAAAGAAATGGCAAACCTTCAGTATCTTTGCCAAGAAAATTCCATGGTTAGTATGGGTCATAGGGTCATAAAGAGTTAGATACAACTGAACAACAAGGAATCATCCCACCCTCCCCTTGCATCCTCATATCTTCTCTAGGTTAAATATCCTATCTTTCTTCAACCAATCTTTGTATGACATGGACTTGAGGCCCTTCACTTTCTCTATACACTTTCTACATAATCAATACCCTTCCTAAACTGAAAGCTCACCTATCAAAACCCAGGGTCCCAATATATCATTTCATGTTACTGATTTATGTTAATACTAATATAATTTATATTTACTTCTGGCTAACTGCATTTCTCCCCAGCTTGTACTTGTGAAGGTGATTTCTTGAAGGCAAACATCAGACCTTCCTTTTATCTTTATTCAATTCCATCTGACTTTATTCAGCCTGATATTCTGGCTTGTCAAAATCTTTTTGGATCTGACTCTGTCATTCAGCATGTTGGTTATCTCTTCCAGCTTTGTGTCATCTGTAAATGTGACAAGTGTGTTTTCTATGCTTTTATTCAAGTCAATGATAAAAATGTTGAAATAGCTTAAGTCCAATCACAGATGCCTGGGTAGCTCCACTGCAGAACTCCTTCCAAGATGACATAGAACCACTGATGACTAGTCTTTGAGTCAGGTTCTATCTCTATCTAGCTGTACTATTAGCCCACATTTCTCTATCTTTTCCATAAGAATGGCATGAGAAATTTATAAAAAGCCGTGCTAAAATCTAAGTAAGTTAGAGCCATGGCACTTTTTGGGTCTACCAGTCTAATAGCCCCTTCCAAAGAGGAGATAAGGTGAGTCTGACATGGTTCTTGCTGGGTCTTTGCAGTCATTAACTTCCTTTTCTAGACATTTATTAATCATTTCTTTAATAATTCATTCTAGAATTTTGCCAGAAATCAAAGTTAACCTCAGTTGGCTATATAGTTTTACAGACTCCATTCTCTTTCTTTTTTTGAAAATTGGAACATATGCCCCTCTCCTGAGGTATTTCTCCCCATTTCTACATCTTTGAAATATCATTTGCAGTGAACCAGCAATTATATCGTCTAGGTTCTTTGGTACTTGAGGATACGTAGCTTATCTGGGCTAGGTGACTTGAATTCATCAGTTAGATATTCTCTTGGTAACTCCTTGTTTATATTGACTATCAATTTCCTACCTACCATTTTTGTTCTATTCTTCCAGTCCAAAGGTCCTTCATTATTTTTGACAGAGAAGACAGCAACAAACAGGTAGC